GCTCTGTAGAAGAAATATGATACTGAAGAAGTAGGTGCATGGAAATATGTTGTCAGCCGCTACCTAAATTATAAGATGGTAGATGAAAAGTTTGTGGAAGTTCAAAGCCACGAAATTCAGAAGATTGCTTATAAAATCATAACTAAAGGTATGCCCCTCGATGAAGAATTTTAAATTGATGTTATAATTGACAAACCTCCCTTGGTAAGAAAGATTTCAAAAATGTGCTTCAACATAAAATAAAAGAGTTTTCAATTAAGAGTCTGATCACTCGCCTCTGAATTAAAGAGGAAGCTAGAAGACAAGATCAGAAGGATGACGTCTTAGTTGTTTCTAACAACAAAAAGAGATTTAGTGCGGTTCTGAAGCCTGCAGGCAAACCATTAAAGACTCATAACCACAATGTTGCGAACCAAATTAAGAATGGGAATCCCTCAAGGGGTCCATTTGCTCCAATTTCTAGACAGCAACCACCAACTCAAAGAAACGACGCTCTGGTTTTCACTTGCTTTAATTATGGAAAACCGGGTCATATAGTTAAGACATGTAAGAGCAGGCCTAAACCTGTTGGCTCTAATGCACAAGTTAATGTGACTGATGAGAAATCCATTGCTATGATCATTGAATTAACATGGATGGTGAAGTGATGGTGGGTGGGTAGACACTACCGCCTCTCGTCATGTCTACTACGATTGTGTTATGTTCAAAATATACACGAATGCTGAAGATAAGAAAGTATTGTTGGGAGATGCTCACACCACTGATGTTGCTGGAATTAGAGACGTTAAGTTGAACTTCACCTCTAGAAAGACTTTAATCTTGAAGGACACCATGCACGTTCCTGAAATTAGGAAGAATCTTGTTTCTGGTTTTCTTTTGAATATGGCAGAGTTTAGTCAGTCTATTGGAGCATATTTGTACACCATCACTAAGAATGGTATTTTTATTGGGAAAGGGTACTCCACTGATGACATGTTTAAGTTGAATGTTGATTTGAATAAAATTTATCATTCTATTTACTCTTGGTGTGATTTTAATATTTAGCATGCTAGACTTTTTCAAGATAATAAATGAGTCATCTCTAATACAAGTAACTTAGGCCTAATCCCTAAATTAAATGTCAATGATACAAATAAATATGAATATTTTAATCAAGCTAAAACTAAGACTTCTCATAAATCAATTATTAAAGAATCTGATCCTTTAGATCTTATACACTATGATATATGTGAATTAGATGGAACTTTAATTAGAAATAGTAAATGTTATTTTATCACTTTTATTGATGATTTCTCTGATTATACTTATGTATACTTAATGAAGAATAAAAGTGAAGCACTTGACATGTTTAAGATGTATGTAACTGAAATTGAGAATCAACTTAGTAAGAAGGTTAATAGACTTCATAGTGATATGGGGACTGAATACGACTCTGAATTATTTAATGATTTTAATATTGAACATGGAATTGTACATGAAACGACTCTCCATATTCTCCTGAAATGAATGGTAAAGCAGAAAGAAAGATTAAAATTCTTACTAAACTTGTTGTTGCAATTATAAAGAATTCTGGTACTGCACCTCACTGGTGGAGGGAAATTTTATTGACTGTTATCCTGAATAGAGCTCCCAAGTCAAAAATTAAAATATCACCTTATTATATATTAAAGAAAAGACAATAAAACTTGTCTTATTTGAGAACTTGGGGTTTTCTGGCCTATGTCAGAATTCCAAATTCGAAACGAGTTAAACTCGCTAGCATAGCCTATGAATGTGTATTCATTGAGTATGCAGCAAACAGTAAGACGTATAGGTTTTATGACCTAAATGCAATATTGATCATAGAATCAAATGATGTTGAATTCTATGAAGACAAATTTCCTTTCAAATCGAGAAATAGTGGGGGCACTCAATCGAGTCACATCCCTGTGATAAGAAGCACATAAAGCGACAATAATGTAGAAACAAAACTTCGATGAAGTAAAAGAGTAAGAGTTGCTAAAGATTTTGGACCCGATTATATGGCTTATAATGTAGTAAAAGATCCAATAAATCTTCAAGAAGTCTTGTAATCTTTGGATGCAGATTTATGGCAAGAAGCTATAAATGATGAGATAGAATCTCTAGAATTTAACAAGATCTAACACTTAGTTGACTTGCCTCTTGGTTGCAAATGGGTTTTGAAAAAGAAACTAAAACTTGATGGAACTATTCATAAATACAAGGCTCGCCTTGTAACCAAGGGTTTTAGAGATAGAGAAAATATAGATTTCTTCAACACCTTTTCTTTAGTCACTAGAATTACATCTATTAGGGTATTTATTTCAATAGCTGCTATTTATAACTTAATAGTACACCAAATGGATATTAAAACAACATTTTTAAATGGTGACTTAGAAGAAGAAATCTATATGGAACAATCGAAAGGGTTTGTGATCCATGGACAAGAAAATAAGGTCTGTAAGTTGGACAAGTCTTTGTATGGACTAAAACAAGATCCCAAGCAATGGCATGAAATGTTTGATAGCTTAATGATATCGAATGGATAAAAAGTGAATGAAAGTGACAAATGTGTTTATTACAAATCTGAAAATCGCATTTGCACTATCATATGCCTCTATGTAGACGATCAACTCATCTTTGGATCAAACATTCAGACCATTAATGATATAAAACCAATATTGTGCAACAACTTTGATATGAAAGACCTCGGAGAAGCAAGCGTGATTCTTGGTATCGAGATCACGAGATCCGAACAAGGAATTTCTTTGGATCAATCACACTAAAGAAATATAAATACTTTGACTGTAAACCTGCGTGCACACCATATGATCCAAGTATGAAACTGTTTAAGAACACTGGTGAAAGTGTCAGGCAAATAGAATATGTGAGCATCATTGACAGTCTTAGGTATGTGATTGATTGTACTAGATATGACATTGCATATATCATAGGATTATTGTGCAGATTTACGAGTAGACCGAGTAACGAACATTGATAAGCTATTGAGCGAGTCATGAGGTACCTTAAAAGGACCATGGATCTCGGCCTACATTACCAAAAATTTCATGTTGTACTAAAAGGATACAATGATGCAGATTAGAACACCTTATCAGATGATTATAAAGATACTAGTGGCTGTATATTTAGTATAACTGGAGAAGATGTATCTTGGAAATCAAAGAAACAAACTATCCTAGCTCAGTACACAATGGAGTATGAGATGATAGCACCAACCACAACTAGTGAAGAAGTAAGTTGGTTAAGATGCTTGCTAGCAGAGTTTCCTCTGTAGGAAAAATCTATGTCAGTTGTGTTGATCCATTGCGATAGTATCGCGACTATTGCAAAAATTGAGAACCGTTAGTAAGTGACATCAAATAAAGAGAATCACAACACTATTAGAGACTGTATCTCTAAAGAAGTTGTAAGAGTGCATCTTGTACGCATTGATGAAAAATATAGCAGATCCTTTGATGAAATGATTTGCTAGAGAGGAAGTCTATAATACATCTAATAAGATGGGACTAATGCCTATAAAGAAACGAGTTGCTCATGATGGTAACTCAACCTAGATGACTGGAGATCTCAAGAAATAGGTTCAATGAGTAATACCAAGTTGTGACCAATATGAGATGATCATGTAAGTGAAGCATGAATCCTAAAGTAATAAGATGATGATATAATAAAAACTCTTAATGAGATCTATACTCTATATGAGGGAGTACCTAGGCTACACGAGTACTCTTGATAGACTCACCTATGTGATTGTGGAACTTAGGCTAGTTCCTATAGAATTTTGAGGCAGAATTCCTAGAGCCTTCACTAAACTAGGATACACGTGCAAGGTCATTAAAGCACGGACTATTAGAATACACCTTAAGAAAAGGTTGTGTGCAAGTTTGATATTTGAGATAGAGCTCAAGACAATTATGTCACTCTTATTGCATTGGAATCCTACTTGCTACGCAAAGGGTCAAGTCGCAGACACCTTTGTTTATGCACAATCTTAGAAACCTTTGATGTTACTTCTGAAACAATTTTTTAAATTCAATTGAGGAATTGTTGGAACATTATGTCAATATTCTAATATAGGGAGATCAATTTGAAAAAGTTCCTTAAGTCAAGTCCCACATTGTGTGTTAGTTGGAAAAAAACTCCTAGTGACACATTGCTTAAGTGAAATATATTTTCTTCACCACTTCATTATATAAGGAAATTTTCTATTTCATTCTATAACACACAAAAACTGTTTTGAGTTTTTCATTCCTCACTCCCATAACTCTGCGTCTTTTAAATTGTCGAAACGTCAACTTCTCCCCTTTTATTTCTACTCGTTGATTTTTTCGAGTATTTTCTTAAATTCTCTTTAAAGAATTATGCTAATTTCTCTTCGTTTGAGTTGAGAAATTATAAGTATTAATTTTTTGGATTTTTGGATTTTCTTTGGAGAATTATTTTGAACTTCTCTTTGTTTGAGAAATCATTTTTAGTGGTCAAATGACCATTATTGAATTCTCTTTGGAGAATTATTGGAATTTTTCTTGATTTGAGAAATTATTATGACCGATTGTTATATCAGATACTACCACTGGTATATATACCATATTCGAATGATCTTTATATCATTAGAGAGTGTATTTTTATATCGACCGTGCAAGTAGTAATCGTACAATATAGAACTGTGTTGTTTTATTTTAGAGGCGACACGGTAGTTCGACTATTTTGTATAACTTTGAACAGTGCTGCAAAACGTTTTAAAAAAACGATCTACTCCGCGACTCGATCCGATAATTTCTTCGGTGGCAAAATTTTTAATATGTATAAACGCCTATAATTTGAAAAAGAAATAAATAAAAAAATATATAAATTATTTAACCAAGAGTATAATTGTCCAAAAGTTATAGAAAAATAAGTGTCGGGGTCTGATAAAATTAATTTCTTTACTTTCGCAAATCACAAACTCAGCTTTACAACGAGAGTACGAGACTGAAGTGAAGATGTCCTTAGCTGCACAAAAACCATGTCAGTTCTTTACATTCAATACTAAATTCTCAAAGAAAAACACAAAATTTATGAATCAATTTTTTGACTGAATGCTTCTCTCATTTGTTTTTTTAGCTGTTCAGAGAATTATAATATCCAACAAACACGGCGAAAAACTCGTTGGCACATTACATGAATCTGGAACACCCACCGACATTGTTATCTTGTGTCATGGTTTTCGATGCTCTAAAGTTTGTTTCTTTTTTCTTTCTTTTTTTTTCACTTGGTTGTGTATTCATAAATTACTCTCCCAGATTATTTTCATTAATTTTTTTTTTCAATTTTAGGATAACAATCTCATATTGAACCTTGCTGTTGCTTTGGAAAATGCTCAAATTAGTTCTTTCCGTTTTGATTTTTCTGGAAATGGGTAAGTTTATGGAGGATGCAATGGGATTGGTTGAAGATGAATAAAATTATATATCATTGTTTGGATATGTTATCATAAATTGCTATTCCATTGCTTTGATATGTGTTCTTTCATTACATTTTATCTGTTTCCCATTCATCTAAGTGCAGTTTACATGTTTGTGAAATTGTCTGTGGAATGGAATTAAAAAATGGACCATGTAATTGCTTGGATTCATGTAGTTTATGACTTTGAACTTGTGCTGATTATTAATTGGTGTGCTTGAAGGACATGCCTATGTTTTCAATTTGGACATGAGCATGGATCATTAGATGAATGATTATGAATCGCATGATTGTATTGAAATAATGTGTTTCTGGTTTGGTTGCAACTGTTAAACTTGTTTATCATGAATAACGAATGTTGAAATTACTCTTATTGTACCGGTTTTAGTTTAGGATTGCTAATTTTGTTGTACTACTATCCTTAGTGGCTCAGTTTTCTTATAATTTTATCATGGTATTAGATGGTAACCGCGATGTTCTACGGGATAGAACGTTGGGCGGTTAAGAATCAACACGAGAATAAAGGAAGTGTAGCAAGGATGAGGATGTTGCCTTGGATGTGTGGTAAGACTAGATAAGACAAGATTAGAAATGAAAATATTAGAGTGTATTGGGATAGCAACTATAGTAAGTAGAGAAAATGGTTGAAAATGGATTTAGGTGGTTTGGACATGTGGAAAGAAGACATGTTGATTCTGTGATAAAGAGAGTAGATCGGATGGAAAAAATCAATCAACTAGAGAAAGAGGAAGACCTAGAAAAACTATAAGAGAAGTTATTAAGAAAGATTTTGAGATTAATGATTTTGATAGAAACATGGTCTTGGATAGAACATTATGACGAGAGTCGATCTATGTAGTCGACCCCACTTAGTGGGATAAGGCTCGGTGGTTGTTGTTGTTGTATTAGATGGTAACCTTTTAAGGGGGATCTGATTCCTTCACATATGCTTCTGTAGAATTCCCAAATATTGAGCTTCTTTGCCCGGTGTAAATTGGGTAGTATTTTCTTCATTTACACCGAGTTATATGTACTTAAGTTTCTAATATTTTCTTCGTCATTTGCCTTGTTTTATCTTAACATTAGCTAGTGGGTTTTTCTTCAAGGGAAAGTGAAGGTTCGTTTCAGTATGGTAACTATTGGACAGAAGTGGATGATTTACACGCTGTTGCTGAACATTTCCGTGAATCCAATCGTGTAATCCGTGCAATTGTTGGACATAGTAAAGGTATTGTGCGTGATCTTTGCTTATATGAAAAAACAAGTATATTTAGATATATGATGATATGTGCCAAATCATACAATCATTCATCGATAATTTTCCATTTTCATTACACATCTCAATTATGATGAGAACTGTTCTTGTCAAAAAAATTTCATGTCAACCATGCTTTGGATGTTAAGATTACAACCTTGAATGATGCACTATAAAGAGAACTGTTGAAATCGTTTCTCGTGATGCAGGAGGTGACGTAGTGCTTCTGCATGCTTCCAAGTATCATGACATTAAAACTGTTGTCAACATCTCTGGACGTTATGATTTGAAGGTAGGGATAGAAGAACGCCTTGGCAAAGATTATTTGGAAAGAATTAGGAAGGAAGGTTTCATTGATGCTAAGAAGAGGTCAGGTAAATCATTTAATCAGACTTATTTTAAAATCCCTGGTTGCTGTAAATGATTTGCTGTCTCCATTTAAAATTTGTCCATGAGGTGTTAGTTCACGGATAAGATTTTGATTTTGGCCTTAATCATGACCTTGCGAATTTACAATATCAAAAGTACAAAGTTCGAGCTAGACATTAATCATGAATTATCTTGTTCAATAACTGCAAAATGTCTTGAGTTTAGAACTTAAGATAGATTTCAACAGGCACAAATTCGATCTTGGATAATGAAAATTTTTAAGTTCTTTGTTTTAATCTCTATCACACATAACCATTCAGTTGCCATACTATTTATTAAACGATCGTTTGTGGACCTTGACTTTATTTCAGGAAGTTTTGATTACCGCGTTACTGAGGAAAGTTTGATGGATCGCTTGGGTACAAATATGCATGAAGCATGCCTGCAGATTCACAAAGAATGCAGGTTAGTGGAAACGCTGTTTGATCTCTTCTGTTGCAGCCTTTTGCTTCTAGCTTCAATTTTTTGCTGTTCAAGCAGAGAAAACCAAGCAACAACTCTTTAGAACTTAACAAGTTGCATTGATGCATACATGTGGTTATGTCGAATTACATCATATATAATATGACAGGGTCCTTACAATTCACGGTTCTTTGGACGAAATTATCCCTGTTCAAGATGCACATGAGTTTAACAAGATCATACCAAACCACAAGTTGCATATCATTGAAGGAGCTGATCATTCATACAATAATCATCAAGATGAGTTATCCTCAGTTGTTATAAGCTTCATCAAGGAAATTGTTGACCTCAACAAGGGTACTGCTAGCTAGGTCTAGTCTGGCTTGAATATGAACTCCTTCATTTTGCTATAATAGTGTTTTGTTTTCCAAGTGATATTTATCAATTGTCACCATTATTTGTCTTTTTTTACCAGCCTTCATTTGATAGTACTGGTTATGGAAAAGGGTAAATTAGATTGATTTCATTCCACATTCAATGAAGTTACAGATGTTATCATATTTACCTGTGGAGAAAGCCACCAAAATAGTATTTGAAATCAAAATAGTCTCTGATTTTGTGAGGCGTTTTCAATTTAATCAATATTAATATGAATATTTTAAAATGGTCTTTGATTTTATAAAATTGCATATATAAAAGTATTATTGATAAATTAATAATTAAAATATTTTATTTTGCATAATAAAAGTTGAAAAGAAGGGTTTCCTTCGTATTGAAAAAATAATAGAAATATTATCCAGTAATTACATAACTTCTATTAGAGGGTTTTCTATTACATCCTGTATAAAATTTTAAAAATATTTCTAATTTTTGAAGATGTATTTCTAAACGCATCATAATATATATTTGTTTTTGAGTCGGACTTTAATTTTATAAATAAATTTTTTTCAAAAATATATTTTAAAAAAATTTTGAAAATATATTTTTGGAAACAGCAAAACTAGTTTTTTCCACCGGCACATATCAACGAGTTGAATGAACCCAACTCTGATGAGTTGAATCCTAGCTTTAATTGTATAGTTGTTGCTGACCTAAAACCACATAATATTATCCAAAATGGGAAAAGCTGAGCTTTAACTATGTATCTGTCTCCAACATAAAAAATACTGACAAAAGAATAGGCAGTAGACGAATCCTTTTGGGGATTTAGCTGAAGAAAAGCACTTAGTATTGATAATTGTCAGATAATACAACACTGAGATTATTTGATGAAAAACTATCTTAAATCTGTGTCTTTATATGCTTCCCCAATCATAGGAAACAAATTTAATAGACAGAAAAAATATCAAAATCAAGCATGTACTAATGGTGGAGAAAACTAGTTTTGCTGTTTTTGAAAATATATTTTTGGAATTTTTTCGGAGATATATTATCGAAATAAATATATTTATAACCTTAATGCTACCGATTTCTTAAGCGATGAACTATCTGAAGATTCGAGAAGAACTCCATCTTGTTCGTAGCCTTTCACAGAGTTACTACAAAGATAATCCAGAGAGAAGAACCTCATTCTTTTTATTGAAATTTTTCACCACCAATGACAAGACTCTCAATCTTACAAACTACCTAAAAATCTCAACAAAAATTTCAAGAACGATTAATTTTAAGACGGTGTCTCTCTCAATCAATTACAAATCTCTTATGATCAAGGTCTGAAATCAAACTTGAAGTTGAAGATGAAAGAATTAAATTGCAGAAGTTTTTGAACTTTGAAAAAGAAAGAATGTCGATTTTCCAAAAAGCACAATGCAAAAACATTGTATAGTTGTGTACACTTGTGAAAATTATTAAGATTGTTTTTGGAAATGAAATGACAAAAAGATAATATATGTGCTTGAGATCTAGAACAAGAATCAATCAAAAAAAGTTAATTAGATTCGAATCAAGAGCATTTCATGATTTGAGTCAAATGAGTAAGTGAAGTGGAACAAGAAAGCAAACTGATTTTGACTCATTTCTCAATTGATTCGAATCAGAAATCCTGTGATTAGAATCAAGTGTAAATAGTGGTTTAAATCAATTCAAACAAAGCCAAAAAAGAAATGTGAAAAAAATTGTCTGATTTAAATCAGGTGCAAAGTATGATTCAAATAAAATCAAAAAGAGATGACCTAGATCATTTTGATTTGAATCAAGTATGAAGTCTGTTTTGAATCACAAAGTTTCCTGATTCGAATCAAGTTAAAAGTCTGATTTGAATCAAAGTGTTTGAAAAATTTTGGTTTGCCTCTGTTCAATTTGATTCAAGTCAGGATATGTACATGATTCGAATCATGCACACAAAATATCAAATTTTCATGATTATTAAAATACTTTGAGATTTTTCTTCCCACCTAACTTGAATAAATAGTACACATGATTCTTATTCCACTGGCTCATGCAATTGAATGAAAGCATCATGATCAAGTTCAAATATAACCATTAGTTTATGCATGCTATAAGTGAATCGATTCAAACATAATTCAGAGATGATGTAAAGTGATGAAGGAGACTCAATAAATTAAAGTAAATGAAAATGAAAGCAATAAGACAAGAAGGGTATATTGAGTCCTTGTAGTTAAGCATCTAATGCAACCTGTTGAGCACCACACTTTCCTCTCATTCCACAGACCCTTATGCAATACCCTAAACAACAATAGATGGAATCTCCTCCTCGAGCTCACTCTAATAGACATCACCCTTCATCTTCCTAAGTTTGTTCTTGAGGTCCTCTATCTTCTAGACTAATTTAGTCAGAGATCCATGAAGACTTTCTTCTTCAAAAGGAGGGACACCCGCTCCACACGACCCCACATCTCTATAGAATCCTTTTCAATGCAAACCTTATTTACCCCAGGAAGGGTATAATGAGTCCTTAATGATTCAACCTCCTAGGATAAAACAAAATACCCCAAAAATTCTTCAGTACCGACATGTAACTAATTAAGGAGCGGCATTGTCCTCATCACACATGTGGCTATCTTCTTTACTAGGCCAGACTTTTCAGAAGGAGAGAGTTGGTTGACGAAGACGTAATCCCCGACAGATACAAAATTATTCATCTCCTTCATTGACTGAAGAAAAAGACCATCTAACATGGAAGGTAAGCAAAGATAATCATTTCTCACTCTTTTAGAATTATCAACTACAAAAGTAGATTTCACTCATCTCAGCCTCTTTACCCAATCTTGGTCGGGGAGGTCAAACCACTCCTATCATGCTTATTCTTGGACCGACCTTCTGAAGGACTCAAAACAAACTGAGGAATCCCATGCTCTAGTATAATGCCAATCACAACAACATAAACTTTATTAAACATATATCTTTAAAATGAAAAATGATCAACATATGAGAATTAAATAAGTCCATGTATCTACAGAGAATAAAAATAAAAAAAAGAATTATGAAACACTTTTTTCCGTCCTTTCACAGAACTAGCTTTCGCCACTTCTATACAAGGTATCATCTCATCATGAAACAACAAAAAAAATTAATTTCATGTCCCTATCAACCTTGCTAAGAGCTTCCTAAGAGACCCAATAACATTTAACACCTTTAGAGAAATGATTTCCGGGACCAGAATTGTCGCCTTCAGTTCGGGCATTCAACTTTCCTGTCAGAAGTTGAAGAGGCACACATAATTCCTCGTGAGCAAGAGGAGAAATAGGCTTAGCTGGGAAGTAATTGTTATCGAAATACTTTCAGTTGTCGGTGTAGACCTTGAAGATTTGTTTCTTTGCACAACTGAGAGAAACATGTATGAGGCAAATGGCGTCCTTTGGGGCGGGATGCACCTCAAAAATATGGAAAAGAGGTCTCAAGAAGCTGAACGCAATTTTACATGATATTCATTCCAATACTAGAATACTAAAAAAAAACCCAAGCACTGGGATGGAGTTGCAAAGGGGGAATGTGTAACACCCCAAATTTATTGGAATATTTATTTAATTTATTTAAATATGAATATTCGTATTTTTGGTGATTTTCGGTGGTTGGTGTGAAATATTGAGAATTATGGATTTTACGTTATTTATTTAAATGATAGTATATAATATTAATATATTAGTATTATTATTAATTTAAATAAGTATAAGTGAATTAAGGATAAAATGGACATTTGAAGAGGAGTTAGTGAGGGTAATATTGGAAAAACTCAATTTATAGGCCCAAAGTTAGGTTTAACAAAAAGGGATTTTGAGGGAATTAGGATTCATTCTTGTTAGACCGTGAAAAGAGAAGAAATAGAGGCCAGAGATCTGAGGAAGAGGATTTAGGCAAAAGGTTCGCGAGGTTCCCACAAATCAAAGAGAAGGCTTAGAATCGACAATTAAGGTATGGGGAGTATTGCCTTCATTATTTTCAATGTGTTTAAAGCCGATTTAAGGGTAGAAGGTTTTGTGAGCATTGTATTGTTGTTGCCTTTTTAAGATGTAAGAGCCTTAAGGGATTTGAACTGATGGTCTGATGGGTTCGAGGTCGATTTGGGTTTGAGGGAAAGTAGGCCTTCATGGCCAAAATCTGTTGTTGAGGTTTTAACCGTATAGGGAAATTAGATAGTGAGAACTCTAATGACCGTGGTATAGTTGTACGGAAATTATAAGGAAATTATGGGAAGTAGAGCATGAATATGGTACGGGATTGGCCTAATAAGTCGTAGATTTTGTGCATTTATCGCTGTAATACCTTAGGAATGATTTAGGGATGTTTTGGGTTATTGGGAAAGTGAATCGTGTGGACTTTTGGGTTGGTTTTGGTTCTGGTGCGTAACAATGTTTTGTTGTAATCGCGTGTTCGCACAGCGAATAAACTCGCCCCAGACTCGCACAACGAACTTGCTAGCGAACGTAGCAGAGTTTTCGTGAATTCTGATTTTTTACAATGATGCCTTGATGTTTGATGTTGTGATTTCTTTGACGAATTAATATGAGTATGACTGTGATTTCTATGTGATTAGTACATGATTATGTGATGATTCCTATGATATAATGATGATGAGTTTTGATGATTCTATGATGACATGATATATGATGATGAGTTTTGATGATTCTATGATGACATGATATATGATGATGAATTTGATGATGATGATTTTGATCAATGATGATGCACCTATGATGTTATTATGAGGTTGATTATTGACGTGTGCATCATGCATTCATGTGCATCCGGACTTCGGTTCAGGACCTTGATTTCTTTGGCTTCAGTCCCATTGTGCGGATGTGAGGTATTTTGATGTGCTCCGGTTCTTGTATAGAATTGATCTTATTGACGGGGATCTATGAAGGGTTGATTGCCTAGTGTCCATCGAGCTGCGACGATTGGTACCACATGC